ATTCGATCGATTTTGCTCATCCTTTCGATGGAAGTTGCGCGAGGCCAGCCGCGGCCTTGGAGACTTACCTGTTGCCTGGTACGTTGCTCAAGGAATCGATCGAGGTAGTCTCTCTCTCTCTCTCTCTCACACACACACACACACACACACACACACACACACACACACACACACACACGTGTGGTAGTGAATATTTCGATGTTGTAGTGGAAGATTCAATCGATTTTGCTCATCCTTTCAATGGAAGTTGCGCGAGGCCAGCCGCGGCCTTGGGGACTTACCTGTTGCCCGGTACGTTGCTCAAGGAATCGATCGAAGTACTCTCTCTCTCTCTCCATGCAAAAAAAAAAGGCCTACGTAACTCGGTCCACTATGTCGGTGTCGTGCTCCGGTTACGCCGCCGCACGTCTCTCTCTCTCTCTCTGTCTCTCTCTCTGTGTGTGCCGCCGCCCGCCTGCTTCTGACCCCCCCGTCCATTCCGCTGCCCCTCCCTCTCACCTCTCCCCGCATCCATCTCCGGTCACTCTCACAGTCCACACTCCGCTGCCACCCCGCCGCTGCGCCACACCCCACGCACTGCACTCCGCACAGAGCCGCCGTAGATCCCTGCGAAAGAACGCTTGGATAACGTCGTCTGCCCCCCTGCGCCCTGCACGACGGCCAAAAAAAAAATCCGCCCGCCCTTGCCCGATGCACACACAGGCCCGGATCCGCCCACCGCGAAACGCCGCCACCAATTTCCCTTGCTCAGTCCTGCCACAAAACGCCGCCACTGATTTTCCTTGCCCCAGTCCCGCCCGCCTCCACACCGAATTTTGCTGGGCCCGGCGGGAAGTGTCACGCTGGGCCCTTTGCATTCTTTAAGAATATAGGGATGCGACTTCCCTGTTTTTCTTTTTTTTTTTTTGGGGGGGGGGGAAGTATTCCCCTGTATGAACACCATACTATGCGAAATCAATTTGCATATTGAGCGCATTCATAGGCAGTGCATTCTCGCCCAACGCTCAGCGAACGTTCCATATGCATGTTCAGGATTACTGATTGGGAGCTAGAGAGAAATCACACAAGAAAAGCTCGAAAAGAAGACAATTTGGGCCTCCCTCCACTGCAAAACATTCTGAATGTACCTCGTGCTTGTAATGATCCGTATGCATTGAAATGTTGGATCAGTCTGAGTGTATCTGCCATCCGGTTCGGAAACCATCCGGTTCGGAAAGCAGTCCAGATACATGTAGAAATGTTCTTAGTGTAGTGAGGCCCTTTCTGTCACCATGAACTACCACAGAGGACTGGCCACCTGACGTTTTCCCCCGGATAAAAGTTGTACTACGTGGAATCAACTAGCATATTGAGCGCAGGCATGTATATTCAGCGCATTGACAGCGAATGTTCAGCGACTGTTTCATAGGCACGTTGAGCATGATCTTTCATGTGCTTTTTTTTGCTTTTTTGATCATCCAATGGGCGGCTATCTATCTGACAGTGGTTTGAGTCCATGCCAGAAGCGAGGGAGAGGGATCAATCACCTGTCCTGACGGTTCTGAGCTATTAGTGGGGAGCAACACGTGCTGAGCGCATGGTTGCAGTGTCTTTTTTCGTTTTTTTGGCACTGACATTTTTGCAACGAATCTGGGCATAGTTTCAGTCAAGTACATACAGAAAGTCCCCACCGTGAGTGTGCCCTTAGTAGCAACACAGGACAAGCTTGCACTTGCCGTCCTTATTTCCGTTCATAACAGTAACAAAGCTTCACACATGATATGAGCTGGTGAAAAGGACATGTATGTTGAAATAGGTCGTTATTGTTTAGCCTACAAAAAAAAGAATCCGAAAAGTCATAACGCCCTTGTGTGAATGAGAAACCCAACATCCCGTATGTTGTCTGAAATTAATAGCCCCCAATTCAAATTGAGCCAAGAGAAAAGAACCAAACAAAAAAGAAAAAGGAGCCACCTACTCCACTCCACTGCGCGTGCAGGCAGACCTCCATCAACTATCTGCTCTTCGTTTTTTCGTTTTTTCTTTTTCTTAAAGAGATTGCAGCCTTGTGACTGTGCCTTTGGGTGAAACGTTCAGCATGTAAGTTAGGTCCCCTAGACACTTCAATATCTTCAAGGGGACATTTCAAGGACCAGTTTTTGGTACTAATGCCTGGGAGCTGTGACATTCTCTAGAAGCTTCCTATTAAGGTTCCATATATATTATAGGCACCATTCTAGGGACGATTGCCTGGGAGCTGCCACATTCTAGAAGCTTCCACATATTCTAGGGACCAGTCTAGGGGCCATTCTAAGGATGACTGCCTAGGCGCTGCCACATTCTCTAGAACCTCCCTAGAAGCTTCCATATACGCTCGGGACCCTTGGCCTGGGAGCTGTCGCATTCCAGGGATGCTTACCTCGGAGCTGTCACATTCTCTAGAGCTCCCTAGAAGCTTCCATATAGTCCAGGGACCATTCTAGGGACCCTTGCCTAGGAGCTGCCACAATTCTTGAGGAGCTTCCTAGAAGCTTCCATATATTCCAGGGACCATTCTAGGGACAATTGCCTGCGAGGCATGTTCCAGAAGATGCCAATTTTATTGCCCCTAGGAGCTACTACATGGCAAACAAATGTTTCCCAATAGTTTTGACTGAATTCTGCTATCGGCATGTTTGGTAAGTGAGCATGATTCAATTCCAATCGCGATATGCCCTGGTGTGATGTCTTTGCAGGGGTAGGTAGGATGGTGAGTTGACTTCCCTACCACGTACTGAAGCCCATTTTTTCACTTGCCCCCTAAAACCTCCTTGTCTATCACTATACCTCGATAATCAAACATATCTTTTCTCACCCACCTTTACTATGTACGCTAGATTAATCTTTTAAGCCAGGATGAATCTTTCTGAAAAAAACAGAAAAAGACTTACCCTCTGTCTTTCCCATCCATCTCATTCCTCCCTGTTACTTGCATTACTCCCCCTCTCCTTTTCTGACCATGATCGGCCCCGTCCCGCCCTTCACATTCTCTAGAATGTGAGCAGTCTGTTGTTCATTAGGTCTTTGGCAGCCGGGACGTTGCCTTCCAGAGGGAGGGGATAGTGTTACGGACTCAGCCAGGGCTCGATCCCTGGTCCGTGGGTTACCACCCGCCAGGCTGCTATTTTATTTTTGGGTTTCTGTTCTCCGGTTCCTGACTGTTGGGGCCCCCTGCAGTTGGCGCCCGTTCTCAAACTCCTGCTTTGGCACTTTCGGATTTCGACACTTGGCGCCATCTGGCATTCTGGCGCCCAGATCCTCTCTTCCATAACTTTTGTCAGAACGATAGTATGATGTTTAGTTTTCTGTTTTACAGTGTTTTCAGTTGATGCCTTCTAATATTGGACAAGAGAGAAAGCCCTTGATCGTTCCCTCTCCTGTGTACACCCTGATAGGTTGAGCTCGAGCTCGAGCCCTATACCACCCTCGACTTGCGCAGCCTTTGAAAGAAAGGAGGGAAAAAATGTATAGCACAAAGTTCCGCAAACTGATTTCTGCCAGGGCCAACCCCTATATAAGTTTGGTTCTCCAGGGGAGGGGGGAATTGAGCATTGGGAACATCAGGCTCGGCAGTATTGGTCATTTATTGCTGTATTTGGAGGAAAGGGCACCTTGTTTGCTGTCCTGTGTGAGAATAAATGAGGACAGACAAGTATGAGGCTGGAGCTGCTCAATCGACAGCTCTTTCTTCCTGACTTGTGATATGATAAAACTCGTTGACTTCGTTTTACTGTTTGTGCTGCGACAGATTTGTCTTGCTGTACAAGCTGAGCTCCGGACTGGTTTGCTAAGTGGAATTCGGCAACTGTGCCTTTAAGTCACAAGGGACCAATACTTTTGCAACATGAAGAAGAAGCCAGACACACGGTTTCCAGTGGTATTCCTCTCCTCCTTTTTCCGCCAACATGAAGATTCTCAGCTCTCTTCCCCTGTCCATGCTACCCGCCATGCTTCTCCTGTCTCTTGTCCTCCTCCTCCTCGCCCCCTCTCCTCGTCCCATGCCGCCTCCTTCTCTTCCCCACTTCCTATTCTTCCCCGTCTTTTTTTCCTTCTCCACCTACACCTCATCTCCTCCAACTCGATCTCTCTGCCAACTCCTTGTCACCACCTCCCCCACCTCCACAACCTCGCCACCTCCACAACCTCACCACCTCCACCACGTCCACCACCTCCACCACCTCCACCACCTCCACCACCTCCACCACCTCCACCACGTACCACCTCCACCCCCTCCGCCGCCTCCACACGCCTCCACTGCCTCCACCGCCTCCACCACCTCCACTGCATCCAGCTCCCCCACCCTCGTCATGTCCGCCTCCACCACCTCCACTGCATCCACCTCTCCGACCCACGTCATATCCTCCACCTTCTCCACCTTCTCCACCTTCTCCACCTCCTCCACCTCCTTCACCTCCTTAGCTCCTCCACCTCCCCCAGCTCCCTCCACCTCCTTCACCTCCTGGACCTCCTTCATCTCCCTAGTGCTCCTCCCTTCACCTTCACCCCCTCCATCTCCTCTCTGCCTCTTACGTCCTTCACCTTGGGCTTCTCCATCACATACCATTCTCCACCTCGTCCTGTGGCTCCTCGTCTCGTCTTTTCCTCCTTTTGAGAAGAATCTAGTTCCGAGGTCAAGAGCTTCGGATAGTTGTGACCATGAATGAGTGGTGGTGTCCGTGGTTGGGGTTTGGATGTTGGTGAGGGGAGTTATTCTCTCATGAAAGCCATGAAGAGGGAGATAGATGGTCTAATTGGTCTGCGCGTGTATTGACTACATGATGTATCAGTTTCGACTTGAAGTTGGAGCAGATCTTTATTACACTTCAGCAGGGTCATAAGCCTTCTTAAAGTCAAAATAATAGGGTTGGTCCCCGAGCTTCCCTTTTGGTAATTTATCTCGTGCTGTTGACGAACTCTCACACTAGCGTTTTGACCCGAAAAGAACTGAATGCCCTGTCATTATCGCCGTATCTAGACTGAAAGTTGCCCCAAATACAGCTGTAGTGATGAGGCGTTCTATGCGGGTGAAGGCGGTAGGGTAGAGTTGACAGCAGGATTGGCCGGTCCTTTTGGTTATCCTCTTTATCCTGTTCTTTTTCCTTTCTTCTTTTCCAATGGTAGAAAGGGGTAGTCCCTATTGTTATTGTATCCATCTGATTCCGTTAGGATTTGAACATACGATCTGTTTATCTACAGTTACATGTGTGTTTCTATTCAGGCGCAACATGAGCTAAGGTATTATCCTCTTTCTCTGGCACTATGGCCATAGTTTCTATTTCGTTTCACTGTTCCCTGATCTCCTCCGCGTCTTCATCATCTTAGTTCAGAACGGCCTTTGCAATGTAGATTGACTTCAGAGCTTTTCAGAAAGACATCCAATCAGATGGATGAAAGATGCCGTTTCGGGTGAAATATTGCTTTCTTTTCTCCTTCCGGAAGATTGGGAGGTAGCAGGAGCAGGCGCTCTTTGGGAGGGGTTCTCTCATCCATAGGGAGGAGCAAATGTAATTAAAGGCCGTCAACTGACGCAGGACAAAGGATAACTCAGCAGAAGAATAGAGTGCAGAGCGTTGGGCTCTGAAGGATATAATTCTTTTTATTATCTGTGCAAAAGATGGGGAGTTCTCGAGACATGGGCGATAAAGGATGTTTCTCTGACACTTCCATTCAGGATGGGAAATGCCACGTCAGAAGACGAAACTCAAAAGTCATCTTCATCAAATTTTCAACTCAACACACAGGTTGAAGTACGGATGGGACATTTTTGTTATTACGACACCAGTCCATTGGGGGCAAAATCATTGATCAATTTTTTTCTTTCTTTCGAGCCCGGCTGCTACAGTAACCGCCTCTGGAGAACAAAATGCTGCTACCAGTGCCGGCCTCTGTGCTGCGGACCTGAGGTTCAAATAGTAGGCCGTTTTCTACTTTTTCTGCACATTTGTTTTTTGTCTTTTTTTCTTTGCATGTATTATTTTTTGTCCTCGTTTTCTTCCATTGTGTTCACATGGGCCCACGATTTCGAAACGGAAGCGGCCGTATGTTTGGTGGAAGAGCATCCTCTGGACTGCTGATGTGGCTGAATTTTCACGGACGGTAGCATGCGTACTCTCTCTCTCTCTCTCTCTCTCTCTCTCTCTCTCTCTCTCTCTCTCTCTCTCTCTCTCTCTCTCTCTCTCTCTGCACTGCTGTCTTCCCCTGAAC